TTAATTGGTCAAATATGGTTTACGTTCAAGGAGCGGAAATGAAACGACATCTGTAAGCTTTATATGTAAATTTCTTGTGGCGTTCTGAGGCAAAGTTTCTGTTTGCATTTATCAGATAAAAAGTTAAACAGGGTCAGTACCTGGAACGTGTGTGGCATGAACCAAATGAATATTAATATCTTCGCACATTGTGTACTTTAAAAATATGGGTAAAACACACCTAAATTTGATTGGTCACATCGGCCAAATACATACGAACATGGAAAGTGTTAGATCGCGCTTTAAGATTGACCCACCTTTGTTATTAAATCGAGTATGTAGGTATAACATCTGAGTTATTGTCGTGGTGATTAAGTATAAATATATTTTTAAAGTGTTTCTTTTTTTTGGCAGTGTGGTTAGACACAGAGGCACCTTGCGTTACATCTTTTATCTGAAACTGTGAATGCATTTGTTGTGTTGAGGAACTTTTTGGCTTCTCATAGAGTATTTGTGAAACAACAACCATTCACACGCCCTAATGAATAATGCATGCTTGCATCTAATTTGATTACGAAACGGGTAAATTTGGCCTGAGCGACTTTGGCGACACATTACAGGAAAACTTGAAAGGTTGACGGAAATCAAGCGGGCAGGTAGAATCTGGAATGCGATTATTGAATTTTACAGTTGCTTTGAACGCACAAGGTAATACAAAACGCTTAGTGGCCCTAATTATTGTGGAACTGTTCGTTCATTTTATAATTTATACTTTATTAAGCACTGCGTATATCTACGAAAACATCTTCAACGAGCAAGGGTCAAAATTATTAGCAGAATTGTTTTGGCATTTTGACATACCATGGTGTCCAACATAAAGTGGGATATCTCACTAAAAACAATAACTTTAGAGCTGTGATAGTGTAAAATCAGCATTTCAATACTGATTACAACATTCTAGTTACACACGTTGGCTTTAGTGTAAGCGATAGTAAGGAATGTCATAGGTACAATTTTGTTGATTATTTTTGATTTTTGAATAGGTATGTATATTGTCAGAGTTTTTCATATATCATTGGGCGATGTATGACATGGTATGATATTAATTATAGTTACATTCAACATGGCTTTGTTTTTTGATCGTCGATTTTTAGGGTTTGGAATATTTTAACCGGGTCGAAGTAAACGCATTTTTTAATTGCTAATACCAAAATAATTTATTTTTTGTTCAATACCCCTAGATGAAAAATTACAAATGTTAATATAGTAGAGCCCGATGGGGGAGGCGTATTAACGCCCCTTACGCAAATTTGGACCTCGTATTGAAAAAATGAAATATATATCATCCAACTTTTTGAGTTGTTATCACATGGTGTGATCTATGACTCTAACCTTTCTAAAAAAATGTTGCGCGTGAACCTCGATAACCTCTTTTTCCTATAAGATTGAGAGGAATTTTTGATTAAAAATATGTTTTTATCGATGATGGTTGTTTTCTTGGTGTTGAATGGCTGTTTATTTTTATTCGTCGGACGTACGATTCGAAACTATAAATTTATATTCGTGTAAAAAATTCACTGCCTGACCTACATGACTTGGTTGACGAGTGACCATCGATCAAAGCTTTTTTCGAGTTAGTAAAAGTCTTAAAATTAAAATTACGCAATTAGAGTTGGAAAATTTTCGGAAATACGTTTTTTATGTAATGTGTTGTAACTTTATCGCCTGTCGCCCCGATTTTGCAAAATATTTCACGCTTGTTTTCATGCGGCCACTATTTTTCAAAACTAAAAATCTATTAGGACTACGAGATATAATGAGAAACTCCCTTCTGTATAATTTAAAACAAATTGACCTAATATCGTATGACGTTTCGAATGTGCCCAAGGCTAATTAGCCAGACGGCCGTTATTCATCAAAGCAAACTATAGAGAAATAATTTTACAGGAGTCAATCGGATATATTACCAAAAACTTATCAAATCCTTCATACATTTGAACCATTGAACGGTTTACTATGACTCAGATATTCGGCCCTAGCAAAATAAAGTTTCATACCTGTGAAGTCATTGCTACGCCCGCGACGTGTGTGATCCTCACAGTCATTTGATCAAACTGAGTTGTCATACGGCATTCTAGAATCTAGATATCCACACGTTATAGGCGTATATTCATAGGACGGTTAACGTGCAAGGTGAACGAGAAACTGGGATAGGATTCTGTGCAACACGAAACGTGGCTTCACCATGTGATTTTCGCTTACAGTATTATTTGCTGACATTGGCAAATATGACAGCGCTGGTGACCGTACATTTGAACCCACGTACATTTGAACCCATGCGTATATCCACGGGTTCAATCTATATGCGAGTGCTAAAACCCATGGGTTAGGGTTAGTATGGGTTTAACTATCCGTAAAACAAAAAAAATTCCATAGGTGCAATAGCAATCAGGTGCAATTGTCATGGGTTCAAATGTACGTGGGTTCAAATGTAATGGAACCGACAGCGCTATACCTAGCCGTCAGTAAAATGTCTTCCCGCCAAATTCATGTTGGCAAGTTCTACTTGACTTTGTCAGCATAAGTTTAAGTAACATACTATAGTAAACAATACCCTTTGTGGTTATTTTACTTTACATGTTTTGTTTAATTGTGTACGAGATTGTATGTAGTTCGGAAGCGTCCCCGTTTTTTCAACAATTCAATGCAGAACACCGTGCACGTGGTGGTTAATAATGAATGGTCTTTCTTAGAGAAAGTCTAGTTCTAACAGGTTAGTAGTGGCATTTAGTCGTTATAACTTGTAATGTGTATCCAATATCTGATTTGTTATTTGTGGCATGTGAGATGTCATAAATTAGGTTTTTAAAACTGTCCTCGCAAACTTGGGAGATTCCTATTTTATAATGGTAGAAAAATAGTATAATTGTGATGGTTCCATTACATTTGAACCCACGTACATTTGAACCCATGGCAATTGCACCTGTATGCTATTGCACCTAAGGAATTTTTTTTGTTTTTCGGATAGTTGAACCCACACTACTAACCCTAACCCATGGGTTTTAGCACCCGCATATAGATTGAACCCGTGGATATACACATGGGTTCAAATGTACGTGGGTTCAAATGTACGGTCACCAATTGTGATAGTTGCGTTGATTTCTCACTGATGGACGCGTGGCATTGGTGCTCCTGTAAGAGTATTGTGGTATATACGAAGAAACAAGCAGCAATCATTGTGTGACGGGCACGCGCCGTCGCAAAACACAAGTTGTGCATTACTGGATCAATTATAGCATATTGCATTCCATGTAGACGTGCTTTTCTTATATCTACCTATTTGATAGGGAAACAACTGCCAGGACACGTGCCTAAGCAATCGGTTACGCTTCAGCGGGGTAAATTTAACATGAAAAATGGTCGATAATTTATGTGCCGAGGGACTTCCAGTTATTTCCGTCTCAAGTAATGCACTGTAAATACTAAATAAAATGCTCTCTGCTATTGAGCATTTTCAGATAGTAAAATTTTGTACGCCGTCAGGATATAATTTATCAAAACTGAAAGGGCTATACTGATTGAATTGAGTAAACTCATTTGAAGCAATAATTACTTACTGGAGCTGAGATGCTGTGGGTATAAGTGGTAAAATTCGCATATAAATAGAGTGAAGACACTCTAGCTTTTTCTTTCGTAGCGTTTATAATAGATTGCTTTATTCTTCCAGTATGTATATATATATATGAATACTATATCAGGACGCTAATTAGAAATGTCAGTCGCGGGATAATAATGGAATGATCTTATTTTTTGCGGGGAAATCCACTGAATTTAGTTGTGAAGGCATCTATCTACTCTTGAGGGTATTTTATTGCTGTATTCGTAAAATTCCATATATTGTAGTGTTTTGGGTAACTTTTTCACGCTAGCTTCTGTTTTCCAATGTTCAAGTTAAGATCTTAAAAGATTCTCTCGAACCTTATGTGACCCACAAGAAATTGAAAAGTCAAAGATGAATATTTTATGAATGAATATTGACAGCCGTCCGTAATCCATTCCGAAGTTCAAGTTTACGCAACAGAGGCAGGAGGCAAAATTTTACATTCGAATATCCAAATCTGGACCATTTACGGTTATATATATATATGCTGTATATTCAATCACCTAGCAATGTATTCCAGAAAGACACGTTAAAACAGTTTTGCACTGATTCGTTACACTTTATTTCCTTTATCCGCTCGTTTTCCCTGACAACTTCAACTTTAAAGATTTTAATTTTGGTTTGTTTAATTTACTTTTCCGCCTTATGGTTAACGAATCACCATAATTATTCCAGTCCACAACTGAAGTTCATGCATGCCTGAACAGTTACTAAATTAGTTTGTAACATTGTCGTGTACAAGTTTTTTCCCCCACAGGTTACTTATTTTACAAAAGCAATTGATTTTTTGAATGCACATTGATTTTGTTGTGGTAACGCTCGAACAGGTATGTTGATTGCCTAGGGGCAACGATAAGGACAAGTCCCCACATCTTGCGTTTTGTGGGTTATTAGGATAATCGGAATGGCGTAGTAATTGATTCTGCTCAAGTTAATTAAGCGCATGTCAGTCATGTTTGCCTCATTGTTATAATTTAGTAATCCTATACGATGCATATAAACATAATGACAAGAAAAAGATAATGAGAAGAAACAACGGAGAATTTTTTTCTGGTCATTTGTTATCAATATTTGCTTCTAGAGTTCTCGTGAGCCTTACTTTATTGACATCAGATAATCACGAAAAGGGCAACTATTTTGAAATCGGCAATGTATTGGGTTTTTTACATTTTGCGTTGATCACGTGAAATGCTATAAAGGGCACGATATCGCCAATTTTACCATATCATGTACTATTTAGTTTATTACTTATCGTCGTTGACGTTTGTCCAAGAGCGTGGCAAACTTTTCTGCGGTCTGGGGGCGAGTTTCTTGCAATGATGACCTTTATACCTAACTTCAAAAATAATTCGGTTGATGAACGAATTATAGGTATTTTTATATATACATGAGAATGAATAAATTAACGGACAAGTAAGAGTGAAATGTTGTATTATTAATAATTAAATCATCAAACTAAGCAACAAAATTTAATGTATAGCCCTACAACGTGCTGCCCCGATAACCCTCTCTGGACATGCCTATGCGTTAGCCTTAGATTCGACATTTTCCTCTGACTTTTGCTTCAAGATGCCAATCTAATAAACAATCTCGTTTAAATTCGACACTGTAGTACTGTACGTGCGGCTGGTTATGGTGTCGGTAAGGCAATTTCCACGCACCAGAGAATGTATCTGATGAAAGCACAAGATGAAAGGCATTAGTTGACGTCCGCTGGGAAATAGAAATGCTTTATACAACATTTACACAAGTCTCTCCACTGGGGAAAGTGTTGCTTAAACCTTTGAAAACGACAGCAACGTCAATAGACAAAAATTCAGGCTGTGGCAGCCGCTGAGTTTTGCCCTGTACCTTGCTCATTGTGTTTTACTGTTACACGGTCGAGCAACCTGGCTTCTGTGTAGTTTTATTGGCGAAATGTTCCATTAGCATGTTGATGGGTAATCATGGTTATAATGTTGAGGGTTGAGAGCTGTTTACATTCTCTAATACCGTAGAGTAGACTAGATATGAGTTAGATTGCATCTTTTAGTTACTGTTTGGTACACGCGCCCCTTACCTTGTTTTACGGTTTTCGTTCAATAAGAAGCTAATGTTCCGATTAGTCTGGTCGAGAAAGCAACTTACTGCGGTTAGAAAAGGTGACGAAAATATCGAAAGCAAATTTGCGCAGTGGTCTGTTTTGGTTCCCCGTATTGGCGGCCTCTCGTTAATCAAAGAGGGAGTAGGAAAGTTGTTGACCTGATTACGTTCTCATTTTCATCCGTAACGCTCGTCGTGAGAAGGCCGAATTCTTGAAGTGTTTTCGTTCCCTTTGTAGAAGTATGTACCTATGCAAGATATTGAAGGGCATTTAATTTATGATATCTGTCGGGCGTGAGTATCTTACCTAAGGCTCGTCACTTGCAATACTCAGTTGTAATGATTTGTTTCTGCAATAAATTAGCTTGTTGATGGTTGACGAGTGATATGTCGGGAACTTGCGATACCGCTGGGAAATTACAACGCTGGACAGTTAGTAATAATTGTTTTGCCATTTTGTATTAAGATTATCAAATCATTCGCGGCCAGTCGAGTATGGTTCTTACTTCTGAGTTAGATTGCAACGTTTAGTGCGTTTTACCTTTGTTCTAATGTTGTTAATCAATGACGCTCAGGCCGCAGTGGGCATTATCAATATTAATCCTGCTACAGTCTCCTAAGCTTCATTTTCTCAAGTGTAGACAGACGAATCTCATTTGGAATTCGAATACGCATCAAAATAAAATATATGTTTTTTGTAGAAATATAGGCTGGTACTGTACAACATAACGCAATACCGGTAAAGTATGACCTTGTTGGTTGAATACAATAAATTCACACGTAAAAGGATTTAAACACAGCAAAGACTTTTAAAGAACAAGGAATACAAGATTTAAACCCGATTTTGGAACGTATAAAAACTTACAAAGATGAAAACACCGGCGATAGAACGCCGAAGATTTCAGACAGCTCCTGCGGCAAAAAGTATGCCAATGTTCTCGTCGTTTGTGATGACATTTCTGATCACCACTACCTCTGGTTACGGTAAGCAATCTTCAATATATCTTTTTTGAACGGAAACATTTTTATTCCTGTCGATAATATAACAATTATCATGAGATACGATTCAAGAATTATATGCTGATTGGTACTATGCATGTTATTGCTTACCACTGAAATGACAATAACCTAACTTAAGAAAAAACAGAATCAACAAAAAAGACCAGAAAAAGAGTGGTGGGGTGACAACAGAAATGTACCTGATAATAATGTTGGTCTCATTTATAAAGAAATTACTTCAACAACATCAAGTAGCGTATTTTTAATAATGTGTGTAAAACATACTTCACTCCATAAGTCAACGTGTGATCGTAAAAGAAGATGAAATTTTATTCATCCAAATGCAGTCTAGATACTTTGTCACATTTGTATTAATTGTAAAAGGAAATCCGCTCTAATCCTATCCCGTCTATTTTGTTTAGTTAACTGTTGAATAGAATGAAATCTAGGTTAAGCCTTTTGCTGTGTGGTTCGTGGCTACAATATATCAGATTTCAACAATATCATTGCGATATGTAATGGCGGAAAGATTTAGAAGACCACAGCCATCAGTTTATGATTTTGATCCTTGATACAATTCATATTCTGTACATTCCTGATTTGATACAACTAAATTTTTTCAAATTTCTATTTTGATTTGATTTACATGAGAAAGTGATAATTCAGTCAAAATTTTCATAGTGTGCATCGAACGCGACTGACAAAGAAAATCATTTTCCGTCCTAAATCATTGATTTTTGGCAAGGCTTTGCAAATTATTTATCGAAGAACACGACGCGCTCCGTTTGATGTATTGTCTTGGATTTCTAAGTATTTATTTTGGGATTATTTCGTCATATCAAATATGTCATCCGCTGCGTGTTTTCAAATTCAATGCAGAATAATGTCGGCAATTTTATGAAATATTTGGTGAATCTACGAATTGTTTGGTTCTGTTATTTTAAATTAACAGTTTTCATCAATAAAAAATGACTAGTATTTTTTATTTATTTTTATGGTTATGAAGAGATAAGACAAGATTTAGAGAAATTGAAAAAAAAGTTCTTAAAAATTTGTGGTGCAAGACCATGCTTCTACTCAAAATGTATATTGAATATTAAATTGCTTGCAGAAGTTCTTAGTATTTCTGCAGTATATTGCATTCCCAGTAGTCTAAGTATAAAACAGATTAAATTTCCAATCCCACGCCGCGATTAAATTACCCGTCACCGTCACCCTATCGGTAGAACATAGCGTGAAATTTACCTCCATTTTACGATCAGCCCAGATTTCATGTGTAATTGCTTATCCATCAGGCTTTAAATTAACTAGAAGTATAATCGGTATCTCAAATTTGATGACCACAATGTATCATGCTCTCTATGACCGATCATGCATAATATGAAATGTAAATTAGCCTTAGTAGCTTCACCACCAGAAGGATACTTATTTTTGGTTTGCTAAATATAGCTTTTCGAAGCTTGTCATTTGGTGAGAAATGTGAGAGGTGGCCACTTTTTTATCTCTCATCTTAACACTTTCATGAACGTGATCCATCTTAGTGATGTTCAAAAACAGTTCCTGCAAAACTTGAAATTCAGTGTATTCAAAAGCATGATCTATTTTCCAATATTCAGTAAAGTTGGATCCGTTTTGTGCAAAATCATGCTGTGTTTCAAGAGGTGTTTCGGCTAAGTCACTGTAGTGTATACACAACGAATTAAACAAGAAAACATATTGTAACTGGTACGTTGGTATAGTCTGCATAGTTATCTGACTTGTATTATACCCAAAATCTAGAACCAGCCATACGAGTAGAGCCAAAACGTGTACGGCACAGATCATTCTAATCACAACTACATTAAAAATCAGAACAAGAACTTGGGTTCTATTTTTTGCTGACTGTTTTTCGGTGTCAAACAAATGTTAAACTTTAAATTAGAGCGATTATATGAACAAATCGTATAGAAATTAGCCCTTATCGGTGTGATCATCGTGCCATTGTTGCTAAAAGAATCAGAGGCTAAAATTTCAACTTTCTGCATTCATTGCTTTTTCATGCTTATAGTAATTATGCATAATTATGTAAGCATATTGGTAAATTTATTAGTTACAAGTTGTTAAATTGGCTTATTTTCACGCTTCGGTCTTTACGACCTATTAAATTACAACACCAACTCATCCATGCAATGCCTAGATTAGATTTACAACATTCGTTTACAACGACATTTAACGCTTCACATGGGAAAGCAATAATTTATGCAATGGTAAAAAGAACATAGGCCATATATAAATCGTATATGTTTATCCCCTTTCCGGGCATGGTGAAATATTAACAGAGAATCGCTTTTTCTGCTTTGGGGGATAATGTAACGACCTATAGACCACAAAGCGAAAAATTTAATCCATTTTGTCACAGAAAAATTCGCTTTGTCTTGTTCTCTGTCTCAGGGATTACCCACGTTGATGTGATATTATGATTGGAAATAAAGGTACATTGTATGATCAAAGGGAATTCGGAACGAAATGCCTAGCCTCGTTTCGAAATCTGAATAAATTTTATCACACGAAAAGGTAGAAAGTGTCAAATACGCGACATTATCATGCTTAGCTGTCCTACACCAATGACTAATTATATTCAAAATCGTCGGGGTGAGGTGGTAATCAGCACTTTGGAACATTTCCAATGTGTTGATTATTTTACTGCTTTCTCTTGGTTTCGTTTCAAAAATTCTTCTCTTTTTTTATAAATTAATGATTTCGAAATACACTGTTTTTATTTAACCATCCCGAATGTACATTGTAACTTGATTGTTGTTGAATTTTCAATGCACATTTTATATTGATCGAGCTAACTGTTGTTCTAATAATCAATAAAAAGTTTTATTGGACCTAGGACTTTTTATTTTTTTTATTGGGATTCAATGGTTTCGCACTTGGGATGATCTGTAACTGACTATATCTACACCAAGCCTGACCTTAAAGTTATATTTCAAAATATTATTTGTGAGATTTAGAAAGGAAAATGATTAATTATTCGTAGACTTTTACTCAAAAACGTAGCCTCTTGAATTTTTAATTTATTCTACAACGAAACATAAACATGAACTTGTGAACTTAATTCATAGATATCGTGAATTTTAAATTTATTGCTTTCTAACTACTGGACTGTTGAGAACTGTTGGCAAAAATTTCTTAGTCTTGTTACAGATATACAGTTAAAAACTGTTAAAATTATTAAAAGATCATATCAGAAAAATTAAAATTATTGTCCTATTAAATTTTTCAATTGTCCATACAGTACTTGACTTACATCATGGGCTTGACTAGAAATACTTCCGCCTTCAACAAATGAATGGCTTATTTGATATAAAATTTTCCACAATCATGATATAGCATCATTACCATATTGAAACGGAGAAGCTAAAACATTTTACGCATTTCTGTGACCTGCGCTTGTTATACCACCCAAGATTAAGCTATTTAAGTTATACTTTACTTGTATGTACAGCTGAGCATCACAGCGTAATTGGCGTGAGTAAAAGCAAATCAAATGCACTAATTTGGATAAACGGTGCTAGAGCTACTCCACATACGCTTTACACGGCTGAGTGGTGTCGGTATGTAACTTTCCACTGAAGTTAATGAAGTAAATTAACGAGTGGTTTGCCAAATTGTTTGGTCGGGAAACAGAATATAGGATTTTCAGCGCATTTTACGCATGCGATTTTACGCGGTCATTGCTTGCACTAAGACCTCTTTGAGTGGGGTACGACAGGTGCAAAAGCGGCTTCTCGGGCTGTCAAGATTTTTGTCTTTTTCTTTTGCCGCAAAAGGACTGTGATGTAAAACTATCCCATATCAGACTATCACGGTCGATTTCCATATCCGGTACTGCTTACAATTTCTACGTAGCCATGAAGATAGACATACAGGTTTGGTCTCGATCAATCTCTTCCTATACATGTAAAAGTGTTTCCCTCGTACCACATCTTTGGCCGCGTTGGGACTAATTTCAGTTTCACTGTATCTCAAGCATAACGAAATTGATCTCGACACGGCTGAGATTTTCAACGGGCAATTATTTAATTTTATTCTTAATTTTACCCCACAGTTTATCCCTAATAGATAATGAAGTGCAACTGACTGATTGGCCTCGCCCAGTTGTTCTAAATTTACACTTACTGTCAATGATAGCATGGTAGCCATATTATTCAATTTGAAGGCCAATTAATATATCAATTAGCCTCTAGGTCTCATCGGCAACAAATGAAAAGCAAAATTTAAAATCTTTTAAAGTGAAGTCAGCCATGAAGACTTTGTGTAGTTTAGTTTGAAAATATAAATAAATAAACAGAAAAAATCTGATTCAAAATATGGATGGAAGTGTTTTTTATATCTTATTTGATCTGATTCATCATTGTGTAAGAATGATATACAAAATAAGTTGAATCCGAATGTCCAATTCAACTTTTCTTAAACTACTACACAGTTTTATTAAATTGATATAGGTACTCTGAAGTGACTCTAATATTTTAAAAATGCAAAAATATATTTTTTGTCTATGTCAGTTCTCTTGAACAAAGACTCGCAAGCCAAGTTTAAAGTTAATTATATTAAGGTAATAAATGTAGACAAAATCAATCAATTATCTTTGTTTTTATATTTAAATCATTGAACAGCGACAAGATCGCTTCAGTGGCATACTTTTTTATCGTTTTAATTAAACTGGTTTTGAAAAATGTCAAAATTTGGAGGGCGGATTGATGAAATCCACCAAGTTCACATTATTTATATTTCGTAATTAGGTTTTAGAAAATTATAATATTATTTTAGGCAATTTCAATATCCAATAAAACAAACAAATAAATTTAGTTGTTGCTGCCGAAACATTTCCTTGAAGTTAAACAATAGACCTGCTTGGCAGACGCGTGCCAAAAAGTCTCTCGTGAACACCGACCTCAAGCTATTATTTGAGGCATAACCAGTTTTCCATTGATTTTAAAGTCAATATGACTCCAAATTAAACCATTAGGATTTAAACTTAAAAGGCAGAGGTCTGGCGAATGGCATCATCTTGTTTTACCGAATATTTTAAAACGAAAAGATATTTTATCGAATATAATATATTAAAAATAGAGTGGGCGCAAATGATGAATTTGTCGCGAAAGATCATTAGAGCATCTTTGCTAGTGTTTTTATAGTTTTACCTGAATGTAATTATTTGGATTTTCCCGTTTTTGACTTCGACATTTTCAGAGGTTTCCCACTTATTGGAGTATGATATCAAAAGACACTGAGTGGTTATTGTGTAAACCTACCCAGAGATACTGAGTAGGTCAAGGTAGATTGGCTTCTTATAATGGATGGTAAATGTTATGTTCCACATGTTCAAAATTTGAATTTCATTCCTCAAGTCACAAGCACTAGGCGTTGCATTGTAAAGAACGAACGATACAGTGTACCAAGACACATATAGCGTAAACTTTACTTTTACAAGTATCCTACTTAACGATGAAATACACCTAATAATAACAATATACCCACGCTCTACGGTACCCGACAGTAACGTCATCCTCGTTACTGAATCGTCTAGCAAAAATATTCCCACTCTAAATGGAGCGTGAACCCGTAATGATGACAGTTTTTAACCAATAGAAAAATTGTTATCCCAGCGTTGGCCATTGGAGAAACGTAGCGAATAGGTCTATTATTGCGTTCTTTCTATGGTTTATACTTGGCTAAAGGTATGAACTGGAGATTGCTAACCGGAGTGTTTTACTCCATAGAGCACGGAAGCACATATACCTTTTCAACGCTTCCATAGTTCCGAATCCTCTAAGTAAGAGTTGACAGATATCAAGACCAAAGATTTGTTTCGTGTTATGTTGGTGGCGTTTGCTCATTCAAGAGCCGATTTATTATGTGATCGTGACAAGAGTAAAATTATAAAAGGGTCATAGAAATGAAAACATCGTAACTTTTGATGGATTAATACAAATTTCATAATAAATCAAAAGATTGGTCACATGAACTAATAAATATGATTTTTTTAATTCCTATTTTCCTAACCTTAAATGTGATCGATATTTTTGTTAAATACTCCTTAGATTGCTAAGTGGAGATTTTTTTTATGAAAGTTTCAACAAGTCTTAATTACTTGTACTGATTAGAAAACTTTTTTATGCAAATATATCTCCTGTTTTTAAACTGCAATAATAAAGTCACGTTAGCCAGTTGTTAATGATGGAAACGTGATATATTTCTAAGCATGTTTCAAGACTGCTACATTTACTTTCAATTAACTTCTGCTTCTAAGCTCTTGTACTACCCCACTAATTTCAAAATATCCGATGAGTTGTTTCGTAAAATGTTAATGCTTTCAACTGTGACATTTAATTTATAAAGAATAATTCAGAATAATAAATGTTAATGGATCGGCTCAAATATTTAATATTGTGTTCTATGCATAATTACCCGAAATCATTATTTTACGACTCGTGGATCCAATTTTGGGGTCGGTTAAAGCAAATTCCAAAACATTTCGTTATAGCGTTAAGCCGTGATATAGCAGTTTATATGTTAAATGGTGCTGTTGCTTTGACTATGATGCCAGAAAAGGCTTCTTCGAAATCTTCCTTTTCACCACTCAGCCATGATTTATACACCATGCAGACACGAAATAGACAGGCTTACTGTACAATCAATATTATTACATACGGCATTCCTGCATTATTGTTTATCATACCCATTTATCGCAGTTTATGATAAGGCCTAAATGGATGTAAACATCGGGACGATACTTCGTATTTTGGGTTTTGGTCTTCTGAAATATAGGTTTCGTCATCTTTTCCTATTACACCGATATTGCTGGAGTGTTACCGATTTCTTTTATCATGCTTCTTTGCATTTGAGTTTAACAGTCATTTTCCATTTTAGGATTTTCGGATGGGAACTTGAGAAGTCATACTGAACGTGCATGTGAGGGATATGACATACATTTGAGATGCCCAGGAAAGGATATTATAAATGTGCAAGCTGCAGCTTATGGACGCCAGGTAATATAAGAATGATTGTTCTTACACATATTAATTAGATTTGTTGTAAAATGGAATCGGTTGGCCAAAATCTAATCGCTTTAATTAAGTTGGTCTTTCGATGTCTCAAAGCTTATGATTGTCATCCGTAGTTCAAGGACGTTTTCTAACTAGAAATGCGCGAACTTTAGTTTAGTAATAATTGAAGACTAGCCGTAACCGTACCTTGTGGGCCAGTGCGTTTTATTGAACCTGTTTCATTAAATCGATTGGATAAAAATAAATTTAAATTAAGTTCGGCTTTTAAAAATAGAACGAACTTTAACCATTTGAAAGTCGCAAACTATTTGCAGTTTCTATCGTTTATGCCTCTGGAATAGTTTGTAATGTCAAGGGAATACGATAGACAAAACTTTAGCCAACTTGTTTAACAACTTTTTCTTTTGTGTTCCCAGGACGACATGACATGCGTTGTGGAATCCCATGAGATGCAAGACACACACTGTCGATTACCTAACACAAAGGAAGTCGTAGCAAAAAGGTTAGTATTATTGAACATAATTATATTGCTTAATTTAGTAACATAAATGATGTTTAACTTTAAATAATTCCAGAGTCGGTCAGATTCTACGTTGCACTGTAACTCTTCCTGCGTAAAAGCGTCTGCCCGAAGCCTTGTTTAATAATATCATGTGAAAACCTCACAACAAATTACTACACGAAAATATTATCTGAATCGCGCTATATAAAGACGCAATCTTATTTTTGTTCTTATTTGTGAAGTATAAGATAGTCTATTTTAAATACTATAAAATGAATCAACTACCAGAGGGGTTGTCAAAATCAAACAAACTGTGCGACAATTTTTGTGATATGGGTAAAGAAGAATATTGTTGAATTGTTATTGTTTTTTCGTAATAGCCAAAGTAATTTACATTTCGTTTAATTTGTTGAAACAAAATATAAATTCAATTCCCACTTTAAAAGATTCCGTCCTAAAATTATACGTGTCGTAAAAACATTGTGAATTATTAATACTTCATTCCAGTCTACCAAGAGATGATGAATTTACTTCTGTCACTAGTGTCATGAAACCTGGTACTTGCGCATTTTCACGATAAAAAAATAAACTATTTATATTTCTGACATTAAAACGGGTTCTCAAATACTTCACTAAACAATACATGTCTCTAGGATTCTTTGGAAAATTTGTATTGCGTGATTGCCGCTTTTGCTAAGACTCTTTCCAAATTTTAGATTGGTTAGAAACTTGATGTGAAATATTATTTTTCATCAATATTACAGATGTGTATTTGCGGACAAAATTGTACCAATGCCCAGAAAACATTTTGCCAGTATATCCAGGGCCGGATTTAAATGATTAGGGGACCTGGGTTACGTTATTTGTGAAACTCCTATTTAACGACGACCTCCTCATAAGCACCATAGAATCTAATTAGACGTCACTTTTTTATATGAAATGTTTTATGGCGTCATAGATAAAAAAAAATAAAACTGTTCAAAAAAGTGAAATTTTATACCTGGTATATCTGAAATAAGCTTGAGTATTATTGCACCACAATGGGAAAGTTGTTCTGGTCCAAAAGCTTGGTAGCTCATTCAATGACTGTTTTTGTAGCTCTGTTTGAATTGAAAGGCGAAGTTTGAGTCAAATTAGCTTATTAATAGCCTTTTGTCTAGAACAGTGGTTCCAACCTTTCTTCTTTCGTGGGCCATTTTTAGTGCATAAAATTGCACATGCTTGGGAATACTACAAGAAAACAAAAAATTCTTTCTGCAAAAGAGACACTTCAACACGAATAATAAATAGGAGAAAATTACCGCCCAGTAACAGAAAACAACATCATCATTCATTGCTACTAGCAATACCATCAAATATAACAAAATTTAGCAGCAACTCCAGCAATTTTCAATAGGTCTGTGGCACACCTGACAATGTTTCTGTGGCCCAGTAGTGGGCCATGGCCCAGAAATTTCCTTATATATCTGTCTGTGTACGAAATTGCGTCTGAACAGTATCACGATGTAATGGGATAAACTTTACACGAAAGTGTTTTAATGCAGTCGGAATTGATTTTATGCCGCAACAATTATGCTATACGTCAGGTATACGGTTAAAATTAGTTCTTAACGCAACGCTGCATGCGTATTTACTAACGTGATAAAAATCATGATCTAATGTGTTTTAACAATAACTGTAAGCAATATGTCTGGTATATAATCAATAGTGGGCCATTCGACTACGACTGTGGCATATAAAGGCTTCTAATTTTCAAAATGGGGACTGAATTCATTCGCATGAGTGACATGTAATTGGCTTATTGTCTCGATCCTAATATAGTTAAGCAATTCATTCTGAAAAGCATAGACAGACCTCGGAGGATGATGTATTTTCAATAAAAATTTGGTTCAGACCATGTTCAGTGAATATGGGACTTGAACGCCTATATAATCTCAATTTAGTTTCAAATGAGTGGGTTCCCTGACTGGCAAAATTACTACGTTTTACCCCAGAAAAGTCAGTAGTATAGCTATTGTGTTCATCGCAATGTTTTTGTTCACATGTAGTTTTTCACTAATGCGCGACAACTAACCTACAAGCTACAAGCTTGAGTCGATAAATATTACTACGGATTGCAGGTGATAATCAAGGGAAAAAATTGGAAGTCTTACTATTGATATCCTGTGAAATTCGCAGATGATTTACAGCGATTTTAACGAAAATCCTTGTAATATTTACCTTAATTAAAATGTCACAACTGCATTCCTGCATAATATGTAATGCCAGGAGATTGCCGGTAAAAATTTCTCAGATTACTGTATAAGATATTCATGTATCAACAATTTTGGATGCTTATTTGGGTCGAAATATTATCAACGAATAATTTCACTATTGAGAATAGAAACTTGTTTTGGCAATCCACGTCCATTTCCGCCATCAACTCCATTTTTCCAGCCTGGAATGATCGAGTTAGCCAATTATGCGTGAATCAATAACTTTTTATCTACTAACCCGTAACCGTATTTCATCCGAAAAATCAACATCCACCCTCATTGAAAAATCATTCAAGCCTCGCGTAACACTATCCTTACTGAAAGTAAAGGCCGATACGATGATTCTTCTTTTTCTGTTGGTTGAGTAGCTATAAAATATCGTTTGGTCAACGTTCTAATTACGAAAAGTTCCGAGTTTTTAAAGCAAAGGCTTCGCTCTTTCTGCTGTATGCGGCATGAGTTGATCATAATATATTGTTTGCCCAATGTTCGCAAAAAGTTTTGTATTCTGTAGCAAGGGCTTCTTTCTACCATCATCAATTCGATAAAGAATTTGGTGACCGGAACCCTAAACATTCTCTCTATTTAAATTCCTTTATTTCAATCAGTCTCCCAGAAATTGTTGCCTTGTTTCTGAGTGTAAATTCTTCGAGGTAGTAAACTTAAAAAAGTGGGGAGCTTTCAAAAAACTCAAGAACCGTATAACACTGATAAAAATAGAGAATTTCTAAATAATGAATTCCACTACTTAGGCGCCCTGGAATTTGCAATAAAACAAATTGAATAACGTATGTTCAAATTCATATAATTCCAATTTTATTGGAGTACAAATAAGATATAATGCCTATTTCTATGAAGGATAATATTCACACACATTATACTGACCCACTTTAATTCAAGTGTACTCGATCAGTTACATTGAGAGCTCTCTTCCGGAATAAGTAGCCCAACTCATGACTACACGCTCGGCAAATAATCTGAAGAGGGCTTCTGTAGTTTTAACGATAACTTGAAGTCAAAGGCGCGTCAAATATGAAATATTGTTTTGTTGTCAAGTAAATAACAAAAAGGATATTTTATAAGAGCTTATTGAAAATAATGAATAAATAGTTCCGTTTCGTAAAAATGACTCTTTTTTACAAATTAGTTTGTAGTGTATGTTAAATATATTAGCTTAGATTTTAAATTGTGCACAGACACTTGCCATCGCCTCCAATCCGCGAGCCAAGTCGAGTCACGGGTAATCCGAGTCTCGAGTCAAATATTAGTCTTGCAAATTTCAAAGTTCGAGCCCCGAGTCCTGTCGAATCATTGCACTCCCGAAGTCAAGAGAACTTTCGAGTTACAAGTCCATGTCACCGTAGATAACATGAACTACATAGAAATATAATAGTAATTTTATTTGCTCTTGCGAATACTCAGTCACAGGATTCTTAAGTCAAGTTTCCCTAGTGGATATTCTTGTGGAGTCTTTTTGATTAGATGACACTTATCACTTCGGGTTTTTAAAAAAGTTCAAAAGTGTTCTACTCAAGTCCAGTCACTGACCTCAACATCGTGGGATGTGGGAAATTGCCAATTGGCGACTGTTTCAGATTTTGATACGCAATTTCCATCTGCACCATTTTTGTTTGCTCGGGTACATTTAGAACTTGTGTAAATATGAACCGTTCACCACCCTTATCATTTTATTATCGGGTTTAAACCTAATCATAGGCACTAAATATTCTTCAGTTCAATTGCGACAGATTTCCGCCGTCTGATTCGACATAAAACCAATGGCCATCAAAATGGCATCGCGATTATTTGAGCGCCGGCGGTTGCCCCGAACCATAGGACAGAACAAACAAAGAATCAACTTTCTACAACGTGCGGTCTAAATGAAAATCTCTGTAAATATTGGAATTCTTGTGGGAACATTTGTCAAAATTAAAACAAATTTGGCCAAGCGCGGTCATTGGTGGAAAATATCGTCCACGCGATGATAGAACGTCATTGAGCATGAGAACCCATACAAAATAACTTTACATGATAGCTTTATACATATAAGTAAATATCATTTTGGCATTCTGGATTTTGAGAAATTGTGTTCGAATCAATTAATTCCTACAGCACCTCTGTTTTTGGCACTGGTATCAAATAAGGGTATTATAAATTTGAAACTAATTGAGAATTTCTTGTGGGGAACCTTTATTCTCGTTTATGATGTTGTCATTTTTTTTAAAAAATTTCCAAGTTGCAATTGGTTGCGTAATTCCATTTACAAATCTGGACGTGACTTACGTGTTAAGTAAATAACAGATTGGTTGTATCAAGTTTTTCAAAGTGGGTTCCCATAGCCATCGAATTATGATAAGTCAACAATAAGCTGCTAAACCCGACATAAAAGGGCGCCGTCGTAGGATGAAGTACCATCGTGTTAAATGTTTCCCTATCGACAACCGACTCCCCAAGCTCTGATCGTCTACTATACATGGGGTGTAGTAAGATCATCTCCTGTATTCATGGTCCATGCTTAATTTTCCTTTGGCCAGTGTTTGCAATATAAATGTTTCGTTAACCCCGGAATCAATAGCGTTCAATAAATCTTGCTCAAATGTGCTCGTTGCCGGGTAGAATGCGTCATGAAATTGATAATTTAACCCGGATACTGAAATCTGCAATAATTTTAATGTCTCATTATGCGATTTTAAGCTTAATCTAATTACATTTGAGGAAAATTTATTTTACATACGAGCTAAGCGATTAAAGTTTTAGACGGCATTATGGAAAGCGATATAGCAAAAAACTCATCACTAATTAATTTAAACTGTATACTATACTGAAAGAAATTATTCAATATCAACGGATAGTGGAATATAAATCAAATCATCTTGGCCAGCGAATTCAAAAATAAACTTTTTAGTCGATAGATTTTGTAGTCTAATAGTTTGGTACCGTGCAGCTAATCCCTATTTGGATTCTACCATACGGATTCATTTTTCGGTCAAATCCTCTATAATTTCTACCGAATTTAAATCTCTAGAACTTGGTGTGTGTTCCAGTTTTTCACTAGTTTTATGGAATATTTCAGAAAAAGGGGAAACTTCAAATACATGATTCTTGAAATTTATTAAGTTTCAATTACAATTAAATTAAATTTTTAAATATTCAAAGGCAGCTATTTGGGAATTCAGGAATCAAATAATATTTGAAGATTTGGATAATTTCCAATCAGTTATGAGAATAATTTTTAAATGTAAAATTAGAGGGATGCTGAAAAATATGGCATCAAATATGAAAAATAGCTTTTTGGAGGATGGAAGAATTGAAAACTTGTTAGAAAAGTCGGTAATGTCATAGCTTTTGATAGTACATTTTTAAGATTGACTAGTATTGATAATATTGACTGTTTTTATAAATAAAAAAATAAAAAAGTTAAAAAAAAAAAAAAAAAAAAAAAAAAAATATTCATGTTCCTTATACAAGGGTAGGGAAAATGAAATAGGCAGATGGAATGATATAAGTCATCACTCAAATTTGCATCGTTTTATTGACATTAAAGTGCTTACTTTTCAAAGTAATATTGTGAAGAATTGACGTCTTATTTAGGTTTGTTGGCACAAGCTGACAAATCATTACGAATTTTACTAGTAATGGCTCTATAACTGCAACTTATTGATTCGAATTCATTGTTAGTACGTAGTAAAAGAGCTTTTAAACGTAAGACAAATCATCATATCTTAATATGAGTAATCAAATTGGACGAATTTCGGCTGTGCTTGGGAATGGCAAAATGCAAAAAGTCTTGAGTGTTTGGCATATTTTAATAATAATATAAGCTCTGGAAATATATTACTTCTGCAAAATATTGCCAATACTTTTCGGACTAAACAAGAATAATTATAAATATTTTAATTTAGAAAATGCCAACTGCATTTATTCAGATTTTTTTTGTATTTAAAATCTAATATTATATTTTAGGTTTGTATTTTTTCGTCCAATCTGACAGACGAAATTTCCTAAATCTCATTATTATTTTTTACTCGTCCTAGTCCAATCTCGCGTGGTGCAATTCTGAATAAAAAAAAACTCACCGAATCAATATCCATTTCTTAGTTGAAATTCCCTAGATGTGACTGTCAAAAAATGTATAATTTCACCACAACGGGTAGTTTATTTATTTCGTCGCGTCTCTAATCCCAAAACTACAGAAAAATACACTTTGGAAATTTTGATTAATTTGCCTCGCCGAGATAAAGTGATATACGCGGATTATAGAAATCCCACAAAAAAAAAGATTTCCGAGTGTAATTAATTTTGCAATCATCTAAATTGTATCTAATTCGAAGCCTAATATCGGAACCAAAGTGAGCCCCAATCGTGTGTCAATATGGTGTATCCCGATTTGAATAGCCCACTGGACTATTTTTAATGTTTTTGTCTTTTGTTGAAATGCGCGAGAGTTTCGTGGTTCCTAAAGGTCGTTGTCATGCTATGAAACAGACAATTCATTACTTATTTATGGCCATTGCAAACGTAACTTGTCCAAGCATCAGACTCTAGTTTCAAAGGAACAATAAGTCCTAACAGGGGCTTTATCACAGTGTTTTACACCAGAAAAATCAATTTAGGAAGTACTCCCGAAGTTTAATGTCAACATAGAACACGCCCTGCTTGCGGGATAACAAATTACCATTCAGTTTTGAGACCCGCCAATATTCATCCAGTACGGGTAACAATCCGTGAACGTCGTCGCATAGATTATTGTGGTAACCAGAAGCGCTTAAGCTGAAGCTCTTTCATGAAATATGAATTCAGCGACTGGGTGCGTTCGAGAGTTGAATTTCAAAAATTTAGATCGTATCTTGACATACTTTGAAGCTGTTGAACCCGAAATGGTTTTACCCTATTGTTTTCATTCCTCAACAAGCATTTTCTAAAAATGGTGTGATCATATGCCTTACAGCTGTAGTAAGTAATTATTGGAATTTGCGCCCGCTTGATATTGTTGCCGGGTAATCGCAAACACATTAAATAGCTTTGCCTATTACATATTAAAGATGAGTATAGGTATGGTTATATGGTCCCAATCGCCATCTGAATGGCCTCCGCCGTACGGCGCATATTTGGTCCCATATTTGACAGAAGGTTATATTTTTGGGCAGTTACACCATATTATGTGTATTGCCAATCAATGAGGCTCGTTCTTTTACTAATGTGTTCAAATGTCCTAAATGAAAAAAACGTGATAAATGTATCAAGGACTGACAAAGTTATTTTTCATAAAAATTTTGAAAAGCTGAAAAGTGTGCCTCAGTGATACACTTCATTTAATATATGTTATAACTGAAATTATAATAATGAACATTTAGGCCTATAGTATCCACGTTGTGGCCATTTTTGTCCAATTCCATTTGTTTTAAATTGAATCCTTGAAGCAAAATTTAACCAAAGAAATTTGCTTTGCTGTGTTTCACCATTTATCTCAGCTACAATTTTTGTTTGTCTGTTGCCGGAAGCCAGCTCATGTTGAGTGATAAGCATATTTGCTTTTATAAATCATACACACAAACTGATTGGCTGTGGTTATCAACTTTCGTTTGCTAAAAAATATTACTGTCTAACGCCACCTTGCGCCTGGCAGAACGGTAATATTGTGATTCATCTAACTCTGCAATAGCGGCCAAAGATCAGATCATTTTTTATAGAACTTAATTTATAGATGATTTACGTCAGTCCTTAGGGTTTAGCTTTCATTTAATCGTATTCGAATCGCAGCAGTTATCCACGATCGCCGTTGAACAGGTTCCTCATTACCACAAAACTTCAATAATTGATGTTATTTGGGTACTACGGAAGAAACGTATTTGTCACTTCCGTTGTATATTTTGTGAAGACTATTATCAGAGCGTCATTTTAATACTAATTTCTGAAATTTATAATTACAATTCGTTTCACTGATAACTGTATAACAGTCGATATAATTCTATTAAATGTTGAAATGGAATCTTTTGTGGATGAATTGAATCTAATCAATTCTACTTTATATGCTTATACTTTGAACCCATTGTTTAAAGCACAATTTTTGTGATTTTTTGTCTCTTGTTTTTATACGGCAAATGGAAAGTACTGTAAAGTATTTTCATCAATCGCTATATGGCGCTGCAGAGTAATTCAAAATCTCATTTCTATAGCTATTATACGGGCATTGTGATGTAATGTACTTTTATCGCTGCACAATTTTATAAAATAATATTTTGGTGCCTACTATTACATGTTACTAAACGAACATAGTCTTATATTATATTTCTCTTAATTTTTAGATGCAATGGAAACACAACGTGCGATTTTAAGGTCGGTGACGGCGTGTTTCAAGATCCATGTCCAGGGACGAAGAAATATCTCAACGTTATGTACGAATGTGTCCCATTCTGTAAGTCTTTCAACTTCACCTTTTGATATTAAAAAATTTTCAGATCTTCGGAAGCGACGAATCAATCGTTTTTATGTTGAAGTATCACATTAAATATTATTTATGGACAAATTTCATTTAAAAACTAACAAAATATACATTTTGGGATTCTTAATGCACAAGGCGATTGATATAGGCAAATACCCTATTCTTTTCCCGCGTTCTGTATCAGATTCCTTAATAGTATATTAATTCAATACTTTTCCATTCTCTAAGCTAGGATATTTGAAACTAATACTGAATCTAGGGCAATAAATATGAAACTTATAATCCAGATTGATAGCTGATGCAGAAATTGCATTTTATTTTTACTCTATGAATTCAAAACGACTCTCTGGAGGCTAAGCTTCACTTACATCCACACTTGAACCATACTAATCTAATCCAAGATCTCAATCGAGTCCGTCTCGGTATTGCTTGTAGATAAGGTAACAGATAAGATAAGACGAGGTTGAAAGGGTCGTCTGCGTGACATTTTTGACAATTTTTTCGTCCCCATTCGTCACATTATGAGGCAGTTCTTCATTCCGGCGGCTTTACGGGGGCATGGGTTGAACCCCACTGAAACTATTGTTGTTTTAACGCGCCTGAAAATATGATTCATTTTAACAAAGTTTTTCGAATGGCGTTGCATGTGAAATCAAGTGTGGGGAATTGATTTTGATACATTTTTATGGGTGTGCCACACTTGGATAAATTTGGAATTGGTTTGCCTGATGAGCGTTAATTTTTCACGCGAGTTGATTTTCAATGATCTTGTACCGTAACATTGGATACTTTCCCAAAATACCATCAATTGCGAATGTAAAAAGCGGGACCGCAAAATTATATAAGCGTATTGAGTTGTACTTTCAGAAATAAAAAATTTTTTTTTGCCTATGAGCGATAGTTTACTTTGACGTATATATCACACATCACACGAAGAGACATTTTCACCAAAATGACAAGGATTAAGCAATTTTTTATCACAAGTGTGTAGCTTGTTACCAAATTGTTCTGTACCTTTAATTACTTATCGTGTGGGCTACCTTGAACATGCTTTTTAAACTTAAAATTACTTTTGATGCAACATAGAGCCATTTCGATATTCTTTTGTAGGACATAACTCTGTATGACTCATTATTTAGAAATGTTGTTCTTCAAATAGAATGTTATAGAAATATATATCTACCTAGTAACAAAATTTAAACCTAAAATTTTCACATAAGTAACGACGAAACAAAGATAGGTTGGCGAAACTGTTATCAACCGTTATGCTTCGCTTTAATGAACTCCTACAGATTTATGTCTAGTTTTTCTCTAACAACTTTTTAGCTGTGACATTTTTGTTCACTGATAACACTCCAAATTAGGGGTTAAAAAAAATTAGAATAGCCCCTGCTTTCATTGTCCAGCGCTACGCTTAGTCAACATATTGGACAGGTCATTTGTCTTCATTTTTTCTGGTCGAATGCGCAGATACTGCGATTATCACACATGCGTAGTTTTATAGAGAACGAAAAAATACACGGGTATATGAGCCTGTCCGTCCATGTAAACAGAAATTTTATACAGAGATTTTTGCTGTGTTGCATTCATACGCACAAAGCTTGATCTGAAATATGTTTTTGGAAAAGTACAGAAATCGTGATCGCGCACATTACGTATTCTCTATTATACCCTTCATGCAATATTTCACATATATTACTGAAATAAATTGGGGCTTATCCTATGTAAACGAAATAATAGACAACATGCCATACAAGTTGCCAATTTCCTGTTTGGACTTATGGTGTCTACCGTATCATAGGAGGGGCGTACCCATCTCCTGCATTTATGGAGAATATTATTATGTTGGCACATTCTCACATGCTAAAATTATATTTGAACAAATATAATTCATCGTGACTGAAATCAACGTTTTATCACTGGGGCAGCCGTGTCAGTAAATGATAAATGAATATTTTTTCGAATGTGGTAAAAGTGTTGTGTATTTTATTTGCGGTTTATCGAAGGGAAATTGTAAATTCTGGATCAGTGAACATTGTCATATAATCTTACGTCAATTGGAAATTCAGTCTGGAAATTGACTGTGTGCTTGGAGAAATTAATATTCGATATATGTGTCGTCAGAATCGGTATCGAATATATTAGCATAAAATGGAAAAAGATGTATCAATGTCGGCAGAAGCTCGACAATTTTATCCTTTTTGGAGATTTTTAAAATTTGGATACATGTTCAAGCTGCTGATACATAACTGTACAAGTGTGTTCATAACCATGTAAAAAGCTTGCTATTCGAGTGATGAGTTGTGACATCTGAACTTTGTAAATCGTCGTTTACATGTCTTGCAAAGTGACGTCATCAAATTTATGACGTCATAATTATTTGGAAATATCGTTATCGATAATATCTGCAATTTTGAATAAAATTAATATCGACAAGGAGCAATATTTTTCATGCTTTACTGGTATAAGAATGGGATAAGCTAGCACTGACCAAGGGTAAATACTATAATTTTGACATTCGTCACACATGGCCTGTTTTAATATTAGATCGGAATGCATAAGCATGTTCCATTTTAAAGCCAGACAACTCACTCGCTGCGAAGATGCGCATTTTACCAATAATCCGATTTGGGGACGCACGCGTCGGGAAAGGCGTCAGCGTAATCAAATTTACTACTAAGGCTAATGAAGACTTCTTCACCGCAACATATTGCCAAAATTTCTCGTCCCTCATTGTGAGGTCTAAATTGAGGTTAGGTGAAGATTCTGATATGGATAGTATATGAGGATGCATATTGGAAGTGCTGTGATCGAATTGAGCATTGCCAGGTTTTTGAAGACGAATCCTACATACAATGCTTAAAGGGTTAGATACAAACAAACAAATCTTTTTTTTTGGAAATTTGTTAGCACTCAATTTCACTCACAATCACTCACTCAAAAGTCTTTATACACACAATCACTCAAAGATCTTTATGTTGTTGCATGTTTGAGATTTCGATGTTGGTCCGTGGATGAGTGGTATAATCATGCCCGCCATATCACATAGTGTGTAAGACTTTTGATAGAATTTGCCCATTCAAAACTCAATAACAATCATAATTTACTGCTTGTAAAGAGCCTTGTTTTGAGTAAGGATGTGAAAACCTCGAAAATAATATAGATCCAAACCGAAAATATAGTTGTGAAGGAAAAACAACTCCAATAAGTTGCCAAACGCTTTTAAAATATTCACTATGGTGCATGATTTTGATTTTTGATGTAATTTATTAAGGTTTAATCCTCGATCCTTGTTAATGTTTCCGCACACCGGGAAATGCCGATGACGTGTCCAATTATCGGTTTATAGTACTTCGTTTCACGAACTAATTCCAAATATATCAACTTACAAAGACTGATTTGCCTTTGTTTAACACGTGACTCATGCATCTTCACTGTTTTACTTGAGTCGAGTTGGCCACCGTTGTTTAGCAACACTGATGTAAATACCAGGACGAAGAAGGCGGATCACGCGGAATATTAGGAAAATGAACATACAATAATTTATATAAACCTAAATATGATAAAGTGATTGGGCTATGATCTCATGCAAATAATTTTACGATTCGACAAAAATGTAGATTTCTAAATTCTTATTCCGTGTTAATGTACATTTTTAAAGTGTATGAATCGGCTAGTCTTGGAGAAAATTTCCATTTTGTTTTAGCAAATTACAGTCCAATTGGAACGGTTTTGGAACATTTAGTCACAATACACAATATTGGTGTAACAATTTTATTGTATCTGTACCGCCCTTATGAGTCTTTTGAGTCTGCACGGATGCGTAACGTTGATGTTGACTCATCGTAATATTATTGTCTGTCTGGAGCATAGGCTTATCCTATATTCAATCAAGCATGTTTTATGGAACATATGTATGTTTTGACGATGATCCGTGTTTAATTTTATATAAAGTTCTCATACCTGGCACTTTCTTAGCGATTCCGCCGTTGACACTTCATTAGGTATTGATACCCTTTGTTTGACTGCCCCCGTTTGCATATCATCATACCCAAAAGAATCTTGACCCGTGACCTCCGGTATTCACCCCCACCCGTCTAGAGATTTAGGGTTCAGCGCTCTCGTACCACTCATACGTGAAAGGAGAAATCGTGATCGTTTTATTTTAGTTCTCGTTCGTGTTTAGTCTTCAGAAATATCAAACAAATGGTCAAAATGCTAGCAGCATACATGTAAGCATTTACTTGCATTTAAATATAAAAGAAGCAACTAGAAGATTTTTACTTTAATTCATCTAGGTTTTAAATCTTCTCTGATTCAAACGGGATGCGATATTGCGTATCAAACTGTGCTGGATTTTATTAATTCAAGGAATCACCTTCATATGACATTCGGTACAGTGCATTCATCACTTAGTGAAATCCTGTCAAGATTACAGTATAGTCATATTAGTCGTTTAGCCTTCATGTCGATATATTTGAGAATTGCTTTCTTACAATATAAAACACTTGCTCCTTTACAATTCGCGTTCGAGCCCTTTCCCTATATTTCCAACTTATGATATTGATTCGGTCGTTTAGCGCGGAATTTTAACTTGTTTTTGTTGACTGTTCTAAGAGCCCGAGTTCGGCTTCGCTTCAAAGAGACGTGATATGACAACAAGCGTTTAATAAAAAACACAAACAGGTGTTGCATATTTTTGATATAACAAAGAATATGCTATCATTGGTCCGTGTCTGATATTGTTCCATCTCTCTTGATTAAAAATGATTTTCAAAAAATATATTTTAGGCGTGACGGACCAATCGAAAAAAATAAGCAAAGGGCGATTTGAAAGATTCACTAATAGTTTACTCTAAAAATCGTCACTTTGACATATATGAAGATTTAATCACTATATATAGACTAATCCCCAAGATGAGCTGCATGTTGTGTTTATGTTCTTCAAAGACTTTATTCTTCCCAAACTCAAA